TCGATAGAAGGACATTTTAAAAAAAAATTGTAAACGTTTAGTTAGTATTTAAGATATTGTTTTTAAAAATATAAAAACATTTCAACCACCTACAACCGCAAACGTTTATGGGAAGAAAATTTTGATTTAGAATGACTCCAAGCAGTACAAAGCATTACGGAACAAACCTAGCGTTTGCGGATGGTAGTGAGAGAACCAATCAAACCAACAAGTTTAACATTTCTACAATTTTTAGGACTTGCATCGAAAATTTGGTCATTAAAAACGATAATAAAAAGAAAATTAAGGACAAACAAACTTATAGTGATCCTCTGTTAATATGAGAAGTACGTCAACTTTCGATCATAGTGTATTTCATTATGGTCACATTGTTAGACTAATGCTTCAAGCATACATAGATCTTGCGGTTACAGTTATAATTCTTGTATGAGATTTCGTTGGGTTGTTTTAATTCTTTAGACCACATTATGAGTTATAGTCTCACATGCTCGATTCTCATCCGATTTTACTAGGTCCTCTAAACCCGATTTACGTTTCAATTATGTAAATCTAAAATCGATTGTTTACATCATTTTTTCTCTCTTTTTTTACTTCTCAACAAGCTACTTTGGCATTTAAAATTAAAATACAAAAAACCTCTAAAAACATACATGAATTAAATATCTAGAATACCTTTAACTAAAACTCTTAAAACTTCGTCCCCTATAAGGTGTACCACTCCTCTTCAACCCCAAATCGTTAGTTAGAGATCTTTAACAGACGTTGGGTGAAGTCACTTATTTGTGATATATGTGTCAACAACTTTAACCGATGAAACACAATTTTAATATGTTATGTCGGTAATTTAGCAACATACTGAACCGTCGAGTAAATGTAATTTGTCGCGAATCCCTTGGTAATTGCAAGATTTGCAACTCTGTTCACTTTTACAGATCTGTATAGATAGGCGACAAATGAGAAGAGGAAGTGAAAAGGTATATCTCAAAGACACATATCTTCTACGAATAACTAGTTGAAAATGTATCTTGTCAGCAAATGATGTACGTTCAAAGATCCGAAATTCCAACGGTTTATTAAAAAAAAAAAAAAAGATGTATGTTCAAAAAGTAGATAGCGGTAAAGAAAATAATGGTACAAAGGCTTTTACAATATTTTTTTTGTTTGGACGTCAAGAAGGGCCAGAAGTATTTACCAACAAAAAAAAAAAAACACCAAAACTACCCTGGAATGGTACAAACTTAAGGTGATGTGGCTAACACTGGAATAGAAAATTCCATAAACGAAAATAGCAACCAGAATAGATAAGTCCATTAAAAAAAACATCGATCGGAATAGAAAATCCCAAAAAACGAAGATAGCGCAGTAGCAGTCCTTGCTAGACGAGCCAGATGAACCGCAGTAGTGAGGAGTGTACATGGAATGGAATGGCTGCAGTACACTAGAGTAACAAGATTTGTATCATCACCATTTTGTGGGGGTAAGAGTATATTTATTTGGGGGAGAATTTGATGTTCGTAAAGCAAAGGATCAGGACAAATATATGAGTCACATAAGTTAATGTCAATTTAAATTCAATTTTATTAATCAACGGTCTCTTTCTTTTAAAATATAACTATGTAATCTTGTATATATTATACAGTATACACAAGATTATTGATTCATATATAAAATAAAATAGATGATTAAGAAAATTGTTTTACACTCATTATGAACTAATGAATCGCAACATAACTTTTTATCGATTAAATACACATATTCATAGCTAAGTGAAGTACATTAAGAAAGAAAATCGAACTCTTTATATACAAAATACAAGAGACAAATATATAAAAATTTAAAAGAGTAGTTATACTCTATAAAGAGATTGAATAATAAATATATATTGTATTATAAAAAATTTAATCGGTTATTTAGATAACATAATTTAATCATATCTATGTATCGAACTAAGTTTTAAACAAACATATTTATTTTCAAATAGTAACCATCAATATTAAAATGGTTGAAATCACTTCATATTTTCATGTTCATACAATACATGTAAAAAAACTAATTACAGTTCAAATCAATTATTATTTTGTATTTATAAAGAATTGGTTGTTTTTGTTTAACATAAATAACTTAATAGATCAATTAAATTGTTTGTCTCTAAATCTAATAATTTTTTGGAAAAAAAAATTTACGCATCACCGGAGTCATATTCTAGTTCTGGTATATTAAAAGAGAAACATTGTAAGCTATTTTTGCTTATGTGTTTTTCTTAGCATT